AATCTCCTCAGAAGGCTTACCCACCACCTCAGGTCCATCCTCCATTTGCAACTCTGAGATTAAACAGGACAGCAATATTGGCATGTCAGGCAAGCATCACATTTCGATGACTATAATTTTGCATTGTGAAATGAAAGAGACATTTGTCACTTGATTATTATGATGTATCCTTCCTTCATGTCTTAAATAAGCTAAGGGCAAGGAATGAAATATCACGAAAGATCCAACAAGTAGTAGTAACTGGGTGTAATGGCCCATGTATATACTTCGTTCTTTTCATCTGGACATGCTCAAATGGCAGTCAGGTTAACAGAGGTCAACGCGCCTTAAATCAAGAATTCTTAAACCTACAAGAACATGCAACTATTGCACATTTAGTTCATAGTCTAGACCAGGGGTGTGCAACGAATTCGAAATCGGTAAATCGGAAGTTTGAAATCGGAAGTTTTTGAAATTTTGACATGTGAATTGCCGACCGAATTCAAATTCGAATTGGCCAATTCCGATTTCGAATTCGATTCCGAATTCAATTCGGAATTTACCGAATTCGGAACTTCCGAATTCGTCAAATTCAAAAGCCTGTTTTCCAATTTTTTTTTTAATAACTTCTCGCAAGTCTGCATCACAATACAGGCAACACCGGCAGTGGCAAGCAGAAATATTAAATGATCAGTTTCATATTCTGATGACTACAGATTCTACGAAGGCTGGCTGTGCAGATGCATCTTTGGTTAAATTAAATCTAGCAGTTGGTTCAAAATGGAACCAACACAATCAAGTTGCTGCAAGGAAATCATCTTGAGAACGGCCAAAAGGTCGATTGAGGAACATGGCCAATCGAACTCCACCCTGAGACCTGGGAAGGCAACAACTAACGGTGGCAATAGCAGTGGCAGTAGCAGTAACTTATACAGAGTCCATTTATTACAATACTAATACAACCATTCCAATCCACGAGAATAAAATAGCAGGCACATATGTTCCAATAAACTGCATTTGGGAAACTGAAATAAGACCAAAACTACCAAAATTGACTAATTTTTAGATCACCTTCTTAAAAGATATTGCTTTTATTGAAATTTCGCAACTACTAGAATACTCACAAGCTGTTTGATGAAATGCCTAAGAAAAATAAACTAGAAACACAAATTAATAACAATTATAGCATAGCCCCTATTAAGTAAAATCACCAGCGTACATCAATTTGTCCTTGAAGATGAAGGCTGATGATGGCTTGAAGATGAAGACTGTCGGGCTGATGATGGCTAGCTTGATGGCTTGAAGATGAAGGACTAGAGTGAGAGAGAGTGAAGATGAAACCTGAGAAAGTAGGCAAGCTGAAGGCTGAAGGCTCATAGTTGAGCTCCTTCTCGACTGAAGACTGGTAGACTGGTGGCGGACTCGGCGGAGGAAGGAAGGTGAGAGTTGTGAGACTGGTAGACTAGCGGGGGAGGAAGGAAGGAAGACCGAAGACTGGAGCTTAAGTGCTTAACAGATTAGGTTTTGCTTTTTTGTCCTTTTTGGAGGTTGTTTTGTAACTTTGTTAATTGTTAGATGTATAACGTATTATTGTTAATTTGTTATTATGTTATATAATATAAATTTTATATTACATATATTGTAAAAAAATATTCTATTATATTATATATATATAAATATTATAAAACGAATTTGAAATTAGTTTTCCGCTTTCGAATTCCGCATTCGAAATTCCAATTCGAAATCGGAACTACCAATTTCAAAAACTATATTATCGAATTCGATCCGATTTCGACTAATTTGAAATCGGAAATGCCGATTTGAATTCCGAATTACCAAATTCGAAATTCCGAATTCAATTCGAAATCGGTCGGTAAATCAGAATTTTTCGATTTTGCACACTCCTAGTCTAGACTTAAATTTTGACCTTTACACATTTCAAGGCCATAGAAACGCTCAATAGATTAAAAGGTCCCCTTTCACTAAAGACTTTAACTTCAGTTTTCCAGTTTACGTCCAGTGAGGATAGGCCATATTGTAATCTCAACATCAAAAGATTCAAGGGAAGGAACACCCATCAATAAAGCCATATAATTGGAAAATGTCACACAATAATATAACCAAAAGTAAAGGCTTGATAACAGAACACCACAAATCTCATTAACCAGATCATGACTTACTGGCATGAAAAGTATTGGGTGATAACTATCAGCGTAGAAAAGTACTAAAGCAGTCCTATTCCTTTTCATTTATTTCCTTTCAAGAGAAGAATGTTATACAATTAAAAAAATTTATGCCGTTTCTCAGTTTTAAGCTCATCTTATTGTGGTCTCAGAGTTTCTACTATTGGCACATAAAACCCTAAGCTTCTTTATGATTTCTGAGTGATAACAACCCAAAAGTAACTAAATGTAGATCAGATTAAGTCAAAGCTTGCAAATTTACATGCATAAAAATACACATACTTCTGATCCCCTCATTTTCCACTATAATTCCTATAATCTTCTTCAGTATTTAGCTTGCATTGATTTTAGAACAATTGAGATGTAAGTTTAATTCACCTATAACAAGCACGTCCTTCTTACGACTAAGCATTTTTCTCCATGAATCTAACATTCTACGGCATTGACAACACACGTCATGGTTTAGAAGAATGAGAAAGAGATCAAATATTTAGGGCTCCTATGGTCTGCCTTATAAACTGGCTTTGATTATTTTGATGATCAACAAGTAAGAGAATCAACTACCATAACTTCTTCCATCGCCCCTATTACACTCTCTGCATTTTATTTATGCCCTTGCTTAGTTCTAATTTCCTGTTTGAATTCAGACACAAGCAGCATCTATTGACTTTATCATCCTAAGCTGCTCTAAGACACTGCACTAGGGGCCTTCTGACCACCCTTTCCTGAGACCAACTGCCAACATAATTGGTGGATCTCTCTGGTCCTGGTGGTGAAACTAAATGACTCACAAGACCAGGTTAAGACAACCTCAAGCAGTGCTTCCAGCCAACAACAAACACTACTCAAGACTTCGTTTAAAGTGTTAGCACTTAAATAAACAAGCATCGCTTATTGCTTTGCATTATTAAAGGAACCTAATTGAATATGGATAAAACATCCAAAAACCCTAAACTTGAAAACAAAGTGCATAAAAAGGTGCAGCTGGGCAAGCAAAGAAAGGTTTGTCCACTATAAATCAAATGCAAATAGACTTGAATCAATCTGCACTCTACCGAATGAATGATTTCTTCCATACGTGTTGCCAGTAACAATTCAGCACTACTCTTCCACCGACAAATGTTATAAAAGTAAACATTCTTTGCCAACATCCTCACTTCTCAATTAGTCCAAAAAATGACCAGCTATCCTAAATGGGTTTTTAGTAAACCTTGATAAAGCCCTTGTGAATCATGTAAATTAAGACCTCATATTAACTTAAAAAACAACTCATACTTCACTGGAATACGCCTAATTATTCGTAGCAAATTCTTCAATAATTTCATAACCCTCAACTACCCATCTCTTCAATCTCATTATTAGTTTAGTTTCTTTCCAATCTCAAGTGCAAGTGGAGTGCATAAACTGGAACAAAACCAAAATTATTAACACAAAAATCAAACTTTGACAGCACCGATTCAATTTCTATTTAATCATCAACTTTTTCTTTTATTTTGAGCACAAATGTAACTTTATTTGATAAGAGAACGCATCATACACAGAGAGGACAAACCTCAGTAACAAACTGCTGAACAGCCAAAAAACCAAAAAAAAAAAAAAAAAAATTTACCCCCCCCCCAACCTAAATTAAGACAAAACACAGTACATAATAGAGGAACTACTCAAAGATATCAAAAGGCAAACTTCATTCAATAGCTAGTCCACAATTCTCACTCATGCGTTCACCTTGTACCCCTCCACGCTACAACCAGGAAAAAAAAAGGAAAAGAAAAATTAAACAAGATTCCCAGACTTCCACAGGTATCCAAATTTATAATTGTACCCAAGTTGTGGCAAGCATTCAGCTGAATTCAGTAATTAATATGCTTTCTTCATGATAATTCCACGGATAGAAAAGAACAGAAAATTCGATAAATATCTAAGACTGTAGAATAAATAAGCCCATGAAAAGAGGCGGGAGGTGAAGAACTGACCAAAAATAAAACAAAATAAAAACCTGGCGGTGGCGGTGGCGGGCGGCGGCGGCGAAAGAAGAAGAGGGAGATAGGCAGAGCAGAGGCGGGACAAAGACCACGGCAATACTAAAAACAGAAGAAACTTTTATGTGGCCATAGGATTATATGCATATTACGAGTGGAGAGGCCCAAATTGGTCCAAATTGGTGTTTTTAACCCTAAGTTTCTTAAATTGTTCAAGCCTAGTCCTAGAAGTTATTTTTCTAACAAATAATAGTGGTCAAAAATAAATTTTCTAACAAATAAATTTAAGTGAAAAATTAATTACTATTTTGGCTGTCCAAGAAACTTTTATCTTCCTGCGGAGAAAAACCAATTGAGGAAAAAATTTTAAATCCACAATATATATACATATAATTGGTCCAAATTGGTGTTTTTAAACTTAAGTTTTTAAAATTGTTCAAAGACTTCAAGTATTATAGTCCTACTAGTTATTTTTTAACAAATAATAGAGCTCAAAAAAAATTTTCCTAAAAAATAATTTTTTAAGTGAAAAATTAATTACTATTTTGGTTTTCCAAGAAACTTTTATATGGTTTTATCTTCGAGTGGAGAAAAATCAATCGAGAAAAAAACATGAATCCACTATGTATATATATATACACACACACATATATTTGATCCATCTATGGAATAACCATATAATTTTGGTAATTTGTTGTTGTTATTATGGATAGGTGTAGTAAAATTGAATAACTAAAGGAGAAAGATTTTAATTAGAATAATCTTATTGAAGAAACATGGGCGCAAAAAGGTCAAGCAAGCAAAAGAGATTAGTGATTAGAGCATATGAGGTACACAGAATATTTTATGGCTAGTTGCCTTTTTTTTTTCTAATCCACTAGACCACTGGTACAATTGCCAAGAAGTTAAAAGGTAATGATATGGTACAGTTTAAAGAGGAAGATAAGAATTTGACGTAACTGTCTGATACCAAAACATACTTCCAAGTTCCAACATGCATTGAAGGATCTTAGACTTCTTGAATGACAACTTTCAGTTCATCTGAGAGAAGAAAAAGAACAAATCAACAGGTTCAGGCAAAGCCCTCAGAGTGGCAAATTTTCTTCAGACTCAATGCTGAATCCCTTGTCAGAAATGAATTCCTGCTTTGTGACTGATCAAGTGCATTGTTCTCATTCTTAAATCATGTTGATTGTTCTTCTCCACGAAACTGCCATAATTTCATGTTTTGATCACCCTGCTGTTTCAATTGCTTCTATGCACTCCACAACTGTTGCTTTCTTTGACATTGCAGAGATTAATGCTTCATGAAGTGCCTTATTGTTCTTAAGCAGTGATCCAGAAAAGAGTACCTACAATGTAGTTTTCAGGATTAATTGTGTTGGTAAGTAAATGATGAGCTCATTGCTTGCAAGACTTGGTACTAAACACATAAATCAGACCAGGCTTATGGTGATCAGTTGCATAAACTTACTGCCCATCTTGTGAGGTTTTGTTGCTGATCTTTGCTAAGCTGTGGCTTGCTCCTATTTATAAATCTCTGAGAGCAGGGGAAGAAGCCAAATCAATGTAACTAGAAATCTTTCCAAGGAAAGTGCATTTTCAGGAAATCCTTAGACCTGAAGAGTGAATAGATCAGCAGATTGGCCAACCACTTTATCGTATGTTAGTCCCTCTGCTGCCAATCCAGCCATTGCAATTACTGCTAACCTGAGAAACATAACTAAAGTTTAGTTTATTAGCCTTTCAAAAAATCTATCCTTAAAACTTCAGTTGAGCTTTGGGATAGGAAGGTTCAGATTCATCCAAGCAGAGGAGCTTTGATTTATTTCTCCACCATTTGAACCACAGCTGGTCCAAAGTTCTTCAAGATTAGGAGGACAGAAATAGAAGGCATTGGACACTTCAGAGACTGACGGTAATTGCCTTTAGGTGCAGTCCAATAAATCCACCCAAGTTTTGACATGAAAAGGAACTTTCAAAAGCTCCAGTGAATGAGAATCCCGGTTCATTACCTTGTGATTGTGTATCATTCTGAATTACCTATTTTTTCCCCAATAAGAAGTGATTCCCTTCTACATACAAGAAAATTTAATAAGGACTTTCAACACTAGGTCAGTTCTTAGTATTCTTTTTCACCATAAACTTAGGATCTGAAGTGTTGCTGCAAAAGTTGAATGGAACAGTATAACATGAAATAGACATGCCTTAACGGTTATTTCGACTCTTCTTCAAACAAGAACATCACATTGGCTAGATATTAAAGAGGAAATGGTAATAAGATAATACACTTCCCATTATATCAACAGGCTCTAGTATTAAGACAAAGATACCTGTCTAGTTCTTTGGCATCAAGCTGTCCACTATATATCAGCTTTTCTAGTTTTTCATCAATGAGATTGACATGTTCTTTTCCAATATCCAGTGAATACCCAAGGATAGGAAGGCCAAGTAAGTAGGCAACTGCAATTTCAACAGCAAATTTTGTCATGCCAAAGCAAAATATTTGGGGTACACACATATTTTGCAAAATTGTACGAGACAGCATCCACTTTCATCATAATTTGGAGACCACCTCCTTCTCTTTCTCCTCCTTCCACACTGTGGTCACGTACAACAAAAATAAAAGAATTCCTTGAGGGATTTAATTTCTCATCTCAGCTTAAGCTTTATGACTGAGTATTGTGGCTTAAGGCTCTCCCCCCCCCCCCCCCAAAAAAAAAACAAAAAAAAAAAAAAGCATTTGGTGAATTAAGTTTTACATTTCAGATTCCTTTTGTCTGGTATTTCATAAAACAATATATAGACAAATACTTCCTTACATTTGCAGATCTACATTTGCCATACTGAAAAAGATGTTACCTAAAAAGTGAGCTGCCTCATGTCTAGCAATCCTCTCCTGGTAATCAGGAAAAAATGATGCAAACCCACCAATGGCTGCCTGAAGGAGACTATATCATGAATACATATCAGCATTTGCTGTAAGACTTGCCTTCACTCTTATCACTCCCTCTCTTCTCTCTACGACTACGCCTGTCTTCTGACCTTGTGTCTGTGCTTCTTTTTTTTTTTTTTTTTTTTGTGTTTTTGCATGTACTATCGATGGTTGGGTGTACAGTGAAAGTTCTGTGCCTGTTACTCGCTAATCTCACTTGTCTTCAGTAGACAATCATGGAAAAGTTAACTTTTCACACTTCACATCTATCAAGGCATATGAAAAGATGTATCTTATGACTTACCCAGGGGAAACGCTCCCAACTGCCAGAACAATTAAAGAGATGCTCCCAATTAAGTATGGAAGAAAGAAACCCCAATCCTGAAAGAGCATAAAGTAGAAGTATTGGATGAAACTTTTCAGTGAACTCCACATGGTGGTAAAGAATATCTAGCTGCATATTGGAGTAGATGATGATCATATACTATGCATCACTAGACAATCAAGCAAAAAACTGCAGAAATCTAACAAAAAGGAGGTGACTTAGTGTCTCAAATTCATACAATGTACTTCAATTTGTAGAGCTTTTGCACCTATTTACCTAATAAAGCATAAAATTGTTTATGGCAACACTCATTTACTAATATAAGTCGCATTTTGAGTGGTAATATCATTAATCATATGCTTTAAGATCAATATTACAGTTTTTTACTGTTATTGTAGCTTTAAGTTCACCAGAGAAGGGTGCTCCAACACAATGATTAAGGCGTGATTCTCATATAGATGAGAAGAAAGATATTTGCCTGCATGATTCATCTATCTATGCTCGGGAGTAGACAAAATAAGTATGCCAATGGACATAAAGCTTACCCCAGGAAGCTGGCTAGTGAGAACACCTAAAAAACCAGTTGTTCCTACCACCGTAAAGAGAAACGCTGCCTGCACTACTGGAAGAATTAGTTAAACTAAAATGAATCAGAACTACTGTAAATTTCTTTGAGGAAAATTATGAAAACATAATCTCCATTTTCTCAAGTAATTATACATAATGCTGCAAAGAAAACATCAGAGCCAATGCATCAAGGTTTTATGTTTGAATTCTGAGCCAAATTAAAATTCTTCTTATTTTAGATAATGCAGATATAGGACACACCAATATCTCTATTTCTTGAAGAGCTACAGAACTGGTTAAGACCTGCAAGGTGGCCTTATAAGTTGAGACCTTTTTTAAGCATTGAATATGCACTTCTATATAATCAGTGGATGTGTTTGAGAATATGCATTTCACGACAAACTTACATCATTTCTAACACTTGGGATTGCAAGGTTCTCTGCATTTTTAATCCCAAGGGTTGTCAACTCTCGAAGAGATGTCTGCGACAGAAATTTCAGAACAATTGTCATTTTTCTGCAGATGAAAACAAAAGAATATTTTAAGGAAACAACATAAAATATATGTTTTCAGAGTACATGTATGCACAGATTTGTAGAAGATGTTAATGCTTGAGTAGAACTTTCCCATAACTTCTCATTCTCAGTTGAGACTGACCGTACGGCGTGATACATATGGCTGAGAACTCCACCTTTTCGCCCAACCAACTTCACTCAGCTGATCAAGTACTTCTTTAACTGCATCACTTTCTTTCTGCAGCATGTCAATAGATGAGAACAATATCAAACAAAATGTAACTGAGGCATTGCAGAATTCTAATATTTTTCTGATCAAATGGATAAAAGAAAGGATTGATGTGCACAAGCATTTTATCCTAGTAGCGACTTGTCATACCATAGCAAAGAACTGCATCTGGACATTTAACGGGTCCAAAAATGCTTCATAAATTTTAAAACTTGAACTCGTTTTTGGTTAAATTTGCTGAAGATGCCTTCAGGCTATATCAATAGCTAGTGATGTGATAGACCCTAAAATTGTTTTGCATATGCCTAATAAAAGAAGGGATAAGAGAAGAATGATCTTGTGATACAGTAACATTTACACTGGTCAATTTCACAACTTAGTAAGAAACTAAGTAAAATGCCTTTTAATAGTAGTTACAGATTCGTGGCAGGACCAATGATTGGCCTCAGGAGTTAACCGTTAGCATTTAATATGTGAATATTAGTGGTACGAAAATCAGAGATGGACATTATTATTCATGTGCAAATCTTGTGTGCTTTCTATGTTTTAAATGTGCATACAAACGTTAAGATGTGTACAACTAGTTTTCCTGCAAATCTGTAAACAAATGTCGTCTGCTAAAGGCAATAACCTATCCTCACTCAATCTCAAATAAATTTCTCATAACCACCGTTACCATTTAGCTGCCTACGGTTTTACAGTGCAGAACATTCCAAAAAGAATTCTGCGAAGATTTCACTCTGAATCGGTTTCAAAAATGCCAACTTTCCATTTGTCCGTATATGGATTCTCATAATAGTCAATAATTTCTCCAAAAGTGAAAAGTCAGACCAATTCAATGCTCACATTTTATCTAAAATTAAAAAAATGGAAGCAAAAATTAGTAAAAACACCTCAGATGACAACAATTTTTCCATTTATATCCGTAAAATGCACTACTAATAATCCACAATAAGAAAAACCCGCATGGAGAAAAATAAAGGTTGAAAAACAAATTTCTGTGAACAAAAGACTAACCTTGGAAATTGCAGATTCAAGAATGCTGAGGTCCACACCAGAAGCAGCAGATGAAGAAGCTCTTATCCTCCAACTCATGGGATGCCTGAAACATGTTCGATTATTCCAACATTGTAAATTAATATGGGAATGGCAAAACAGAGAGGAATAAAGGGTTGAAACGGAGGTGGAAGCCATATGTTTTCCTCAGGTTTTCTTTCCTTCTTTCTGTCTTCCGTGAAGTTGGTCCGGGACTCGGGGTCTGGGGATAAGGTTGGCGGGAGGACTTGAATATACGGTTACAAATGTACTAGTCTTTTTTTCCCCCCATATGGACCCTATGTATTGAGATTTAACTGTAGAGACCTCCTCCCATAAGGCAAAAGATAGACATAATACTTTGTAAAAATTCCCGAATGGCATTTCCCAGGTACCGGTTGGACTTGACATTCCTGGCATTGAGTACCTTAAAATACGTTAGCAGCGTATTTGGTCTCGAGCTCGAGGCTCGTCCAGCTCTTGAAAATTCAATTTAAATTCGATTTAATTATTATTTTTATCTTATTTAAGTTCGAATTCAATGTATTGTATTCAACTCAAATTCGACTTAATGTATTGTATTTTTTATCCCTTTGACCGGATAGGAAATTATTCAAAAAAAAGTATATAAAATAATACTGTAGCATTATTTGTAATGTAATTTATATGAGATAAAAAGTTAGTTAAAAATTATATTCAGGGTATATATATATATTTTTTTTTTTTGGCAAATCTTGACAATCAAACAGACCCAATTATTGTTATTATACTAACTTTTAGTGTATCAAAATTTAACCAAAATTATTTCTTTTTTTTTTGTAATTGAAATGCTTCATTTTCTTGCACTAAATAAATGAAAATTGTGCAATGATATCTCATTGACCTTCTAAAAGGGCCAACTAACAATTTATGATACTTCATATCTATAGCATAAACTGTAGCGGTGGACTGAAACTTGGGAAATGCCTTGGTATAAATGTGCATTGGCATGACTGTACATTTCCTGCTGAAACTGTGAAGATTGGTTTTAGGACCATATCAGGCAATGTTGTAAAAGACATTAAACATATGTATCTTGTTTGGAAAAGGAACTTCTGCACTCAGAATTAGAGCTGCAAACGAATCGAGTTGCTCAATTCCGAACTCGACTCAAGATCGGTGAACATCGAGCTCGAGTCAAATTTGAGTTGACCAAGTCGAACTCGAGTTTGAAAATACTAATCTTGTTAGTTCCCGAACCGATTCGAATTCGATTATATATATAATTTTTTATTTTAATAATAAAATTATATATATCTCCATAATATTTTATTTTTAAAATAAAATAATTATTTTTAAAAAAAAATTTAAACTCAAACTTGACATTTTAAACTCGTCGAGTTCAAACTTGAATTTGAACGAGACTCAACTCGATTAGGCCGAAATTCGACTTGGTTCGATTGTTTGGACCCTTACACAGAGTATATACAACCATGATGTAGTCTACATTGGGTACATCAAAATGTGGGAAATGTGTCACAATCTAAGGTGCAAAATGTTGGGGATATTGCAAAGAAAATGGTTGAATGATACAAAGATAAATACACAAAATAAAGATTTCAAATCTTGATTCCAAATCACTTTTCTTTAGGTTTTAGTTGCCCATTATTTGTATGCAATAGGACTCGGACAAATTATCCTTCACCATAATTTGAAATTTGCTTGTCTTTTACTCTTTGCACAAAATAAGACAAATCCTACTTGAACTATGGGCTGTTTTTTAAGAGAATTCTATAGCGTAGAAAAGTAATTTCTATACATGATCCAGAAGTATTTGAAAGTTGCAACTTTTGTCTAATGAGTATTTTCTTAGCCAAGTGATTAACACCAGTGGTTGGTCTGAAGTTTTTTCAGAGGTTTTAGACACCATTTCGAGGGGCATTAACCGTCAAAACATGAAAAATTAAACATTTTGACCGTCACTAAGGATGCATCCGCAGATCATACTGCATTTCCAATGGGGCGCTCATACCCTTCTAGTTTTCTCCACAGCAGAAGGATCCCTGCACTCGTATAATCACTGTAAAAAGGACCTTTTGTGGAAGTTACTCGTATATATATGGCTCAGGATTTACGAATGAAATGTACAACAGTGGTCAAAATCACTGAACATGCAGCTGTATTTGAAGTAGAATGACTATAAACATATGAATTTGAACCTAAGTGACATGCAGTTGTACGAGAGCACAAGATTTCCATCCAGATGAAAGGTTTGACAATGCTGAAACCAATAACCAAGGGAGTAGAATTTATAGTACCATACACGAATAAAACACATGAACTGAACTTTATCTGATATCCAACCGGTCTATGCGAGCACAGTAAATTAATTTCAAATCAGACGGGAAAAGAAAGGTACATACAAGAAGCAGGACTGGTCCAACTTACATTGCCAGCTGCAGATGAACCCTATATGGTATATACACATAATAACATTACAGAATCTAGACAGTGTCGGGAATGCGGCCGAATATAAATACAGATTACTTTCCAGATGGGCTGTAGCAAACTTGGCCAGCAAATTATCTGCCAATGTACCCCAGATGGTGGTGACTCGGACTACGCAATACACCTCGGCACTTTCGAGAATCTGAAGCAGCTGGATGGCTACCCCAATGTTGCTCCGTCACACAATCTGAGCTAGAAGAAACTACCAGTAGCATCATTCTGCTAAGGAGCAATTTATCACCTGCTTCTCAACTGGAGTAGTTGGAAAAATCGATTGCAGTGAGAATCCTGTGAAAAACACCACAATGGTTTTGTCGTCAACGAAAGTACCCAGGATAAATGAAATAGGAAGCTAAAAATCATAATGCATCTCTCATACAAGAAGATCAACAGTAAAGCCCCACGTGCTCAGGCAGCCCTCCTTTTCAGACCATAAGTAATGGAAGTGAATGGATGAAAATTCATTTTAGCTATAGAAGCAAGAAATTTGAAATTACATGAAGGGGAAGAAGAACAGATGTGAAGCTACCAGCTTTGGAAACAAAGTTCCATAAAAGAAGCCTGGCACTTCAATGATCATCAGCCTTTTGAAATGAATGACCTCACAAGCAAAACAGAATTTCTCATTCCCTTAAAGGTAATTGTGAATGCCAATGACAGATGGCAACGGGAGAAAATGACTTGAAAATGAACCAAAGCTCCAACAAATGAACTCAAATGGAGTATATGTTCTCATCTAAGACTTATCACTTAATAGTCGTCTGCAAATTACAAATAGTAGCTGCAAAAACATATACGATATTATCACCTTCAAGAACAAATTTTGAACACCAAGGACAAGTAACAACATGACAGAATGACTCAAAAATAAAAGAGGACCAAAATTCTAAGAGTTGAAACAGAGGGAAAGAAAAAGTGTAAGGTAGCTGACTACACACGCAATTCCATACTATAAAGTCATCATATAACAAGCAAAAGCAATCGTATAAATTGAACTTTCATGATAAATTCAAATGCTCACTTCTGGGACCGGATTGTTAAGAAAACCCGGGACAAACAAAAGGCAAGGAGGGTAGTATCTCACATTTGCAATATAATCCATGAGTGGTAATTAATGATGCTCAATAAAAAATGGACTGGATCTCAGGAAGTAAGTCTATCCTCAACTGGATTTCAGATAGATAACGCAGTAAAAACATTAACATCACTGATCCAGAATGGACAATCAAGACTAAACTACAGCAATGTTAAAAAAATATTGAATCTGTCTAAATCTAAAAAAAAATTCAAGCAATGGCAGCGCAATCATCATGGGGACATCAAAGTAGCAGAGTATCACATTATAAGGCCATTTTGTCAATCGAGAAAATATCTTAAAAAACAAACAAATCCAAAATGCTCGTGTTGAATTTGGCTCTAATCCATTTTGAATACATGGGTAAAACAACTGTGAGTATACCATTCAACTGAATCTCAGAATCTCCAGATTACAACATCAAAAATAAAGTACATAACTCAACAGAGAGGTGGGAAATGAGGAGAACAGCATCTCAGAGTCAATCCCCATAGTTTTCTTCACTGGTAATCAAAGTGCAAGGATAACAATTGTCATATATCATCACTGATGCTCATCCTCAGATCATAAAACAAATTAAACCACCAGTACAGACTTCAATATCGAAAAAGAAATTGAAAAAATGGCATTATGAAACCATTAGACTGATAATTATCATACAGGACCTCAGGAAGACAAATTAATCTTCAATTCCATTTGGGAAATTGCAGATAGATAACGCAGTTTATTTCTTATTACATCATCGGTCCTTCCAGGAAAAATTCAAAGGCAAATAGGATAATACAAAAGAAGAAAATTTTCCAGCAAGAAGCTCAAGAAGCAGTAATGAATGATTAAAATGTCTAAACAAGGAGGAGGAACCTAAAAGAACAATTTATGCCAGCGGGACTTCACAGTTAGGCAAAAGAACAAAAGACATAAAACACTAGTTTGGGTCTTCTGGGATTGGATGAATGACGTTGCTTGGCACATGAAAATCAAATGTTTTTAAACTCTTATGAAAGTGGAGGCAGTCAGTCTGTTGGGTAACCCTTGTTACAGTATAGGACATGTTCAGCTGCTGGCTTTATTCCATATATTTTTTGCTCCATAATTATATGAAAGCATATTTTAGGCAAGATGACCAATTAATATCAAATAAGGGGGGGAAGTCAATTAAAAAGTATAGAATGAACCAATCGAGCTTGTTCCTTTTTATGTGTGCTTCAGAGGTTCAGGGATGTTCCCTCGTCAATGGCCTTTCCCCCAATTTGCGCTCTATTTTCCCCTTTCCTCGCAAAGAATGAAGTAAAAGTTCACACTCTCTGCAACGAACCAGTTTTATATAACTATATATTTAATGACTACTCAATTAGAACGAGAGAGAGGGAAGTTTACATGCATGGTATAACCGTACAAGGCTAAACCCATAAAAAACAAAGCATTCAAACAAATGAATCAGATAACTAAATGGCTAACATGCTTCAAAGATAAAAGAACCTGAATATTATAAACAACATATGCACCAAAGAACAATTGCCATACCCTGCACCAAACATCACCATCAGAACTCAGCTGCCATACAATGTACAATCGCAGCTCCATTAGGAACTGTGAGAATCACGTCAGACCATAAAATCCTTCCGCTCAACATTCCATCCCCATCCTTCCAAACTTCAATATCCGCACACATTATCTCCACCTCCTTCCCGCTCCCCTTCCCCTCCCAAACTACACACAACCTTCCATCGAAATTCACCATCGTCGCACCACATAAAAACCTAGGCAACCCTTTCCCTACACCCCTCAACTCCTTCCAAACATCTTCCTCCACATCGTACCCTCTGATCTTCCCTAAATAATCATAACAATACAACACTCCCCGAACCACCGCAGCCCGCCCCCTCCACCCCAAATCAAGCCTTTTTGACACGTTTCCCCACTTCCCCAGCCCAACATCATACACCACCCCACCTCTATCCGCCATTGCATAAACTCTCCCCTCCACCACCGCGCTCGCGTGCATCCACTTCTCCCTCACCTCAATAGGGCTCGGCACCGGGGCCCACAACCCAGTATCCGGGTCAAAAACCTCGGCCCAGTTCACAGACCGTGCCCAGCTATCCACAACACAACCACCTAGAACATAAATCTTCCCATCAACAACCCCGGCCGCAGCGAACTCCCGTCCCACCTTCATTCTTGGGCCTTGCTCCCACCTATTAAACCTACAATCATAAACCCACATCGAATTTAACGGAATGTCGTTAATAGACCCCCCAATTACGTATATTTTCGGGCCTAGGACGGCGAACGCAGGTCCTACGGGCTGACACGGGATGCGGGGAAGGGGAAAAATGGGTTTTTGTGGGATTTTTCTGCTATGGCAATTAGAGAGGAGAGTGTACCAGTGGAAGGAGTAGTTGACGCGGAGGTTGAGGTAGAGAGAGGTTTGGGTGGTATGGAGGAGGGACCGGGTGGTGAAGAGTGCAGAGGAGGTTATGGCGGAGCGCCATGATCTTGAGACAAGAGAGAGCTTAGGGTAATAGTATCTGGGGATTCTTGATAGGCAGTTGATGGACACGTCATCTGGGAGGTCTGGGATCAGCTGGGGTTCGGCCGATGGTTGTGGCGGCTGGCCGCCACTGGTGGTGGTGGTCATCTAACCAATGGACTGTGAAACTTGGGAAATGCCTATGTTGTTGCAGCTAAATACGTATAGGGACTCTAAAACTTTGGAAATGCCTATATGTTGAATTATTGATTCGCAACCACCTAAAAAAAAATTTTGAAAATTAAATTCAAACTCGACTTGATTATTAATTTATTTAAGAATTCATGCTCGATTTTGATGTCATTATTATTATTTTTTAACTAAAATTGCTCATTTTATGTAATTGAAATGCTTCATTTTCTTATATATTAAATAAATGAAAATTGTGCAATACCGCATTGACATATCTTCTAAAAAGGCCATTTGACGTATACAAAGCGTTGGGGGCCAAAGGGTAAACGCAATCTGAGATTTCCAAGTTCGAACTGACAACGGGGAAACAAAATCTATCCAACTGAACTCTAAGATTGCCAAGGAAACAGTTCCAACCGAATTGCCAAGATTTTTAACCAGCGAGACAGTAGTAATGTGCTTAGCTGGAGTAATTACCAAGTAAACTGCATATTTTAGATCATACTCTGGTTCCTAGTTAGCTTCTCTTCTTGAACGGGCATTGGAGCAAATCTGATTCTAGCCAACTCAAACTCTTTCAATTTCAGGCAGTCATCAAGAGCATCTGCAGATGTGCAAATGTATTGCCATTACAATCCTTGAGAATCATGTAAATTCTGTCACGCAATTTTGTGCTCCAATGGCTATTTGCAGAAAAGATTCATCATCCCATTTATTAGACTCCTATCTCTCTGTAAATGAAAGAATAGAATGCTCTGAAAGTTTCTCAATAGACCATAAAGATTTGCACAAACTGGCTATAAAGATAATTTGAATATCAAAGAATCCTGACACTGTAAAACTAAGCCGAGTCTTGAAATTTTCTGCATAAATGGAGTGTAAGACATACTTAACATCAAAATGGAAAGCACCTGGTGCATCTTTCATGTTCTTTTAGTCTCCTTTTTCAGTTATAGAATGCAAAACCTCAGGCCTTTCCCAGGCAATTCCTGCTGGGATAGGCTTATGACGGAGGTGAACTTGAAAAATTTTGCAAAACTCTTGAACCAGAGATTTGTGAGTAATATCAATCAGCTGGTTATCATCAATGTCATACTTGCTTTCAGCTCCACGTCGATTAGATGAAACATGTTCCTGCAACAGACCCTTTATGCTTCCAACTTGACGATCTTGAATACCGCAAGGGACAATTTGACCAAATGCTGTCAGATCTGTGGCAACATTCAATGCTAATCCATGGTATGCTATCCACTGTGACACTTTTATACCAATAGCTGCCAGTTTTTGGTCTCCTGAAGGGGTCACAGGTGTTAGTCTCTGTCTATTTCACCAGCAATCTTAAATTAAATGCTAAATATGACATTGCTATTAAGAAGTCAATAGCAAATTAATTTTGCTATGAAACCACCACGCATGGATCCATTCAATCCAGCTTTTCCAGAAGGATAAATCCTAAAGCACATCAGAGGAAGGGAAAAGATGTCAAGCACAAAAGACAAGAACAATCTATCTGTAAAATTTTATGCATACGTGCTGAAAACTCCCAATTTTCAGATGATTATAAGATAGGGCTCTGAGGACCCTTCTCCCCTGACTTCTGGGCCAACCCAGTGATTATAATTTAGGTTGATTAATCAGCTTTGTGTTATTAGATGTCTTGTAGCTCATATGCTCTAATCACTAATCTCTTTTTCTTGCTTGACCGTTTTACGCCCATGTTTCTTCAATAAGATTATTCTAATTAAAATCTTTCTCCTTTAGTTATTCAATTTTACTACACCTATCCATAATAACAATAACAAATTACCAAAATTGTATGGTTCTTCCATAGATGGATCAAATATGTGTGTGTGTGTATATATATTGTGGATTCACATTTTTTTCTCAATTGATTTTTCTCCACTCGAAGATAAAACCATATAAAAGTTTTTTTGGAAAACCAAAATAGTAATTAAATTTTCACTTCAAAAAATTATTTGTTAGGAAATTTTTTCTGAGCTCTATTATTTGTTAAAAAATAACTAGTAGCCCTATAATACTTGAAGTCTTTGAACAATTTTAAAAACTTAAGTTTAAAAATGTGAGAATCCGAAAATTTTTATATTTTCTAAACATTATTTTATTTCCTTATCTACAATTTTATACTTTCCTTCAATATATTAACTTTATATATATTTTTATAAGTGAATATAGTTTTTCAAATCATTTTTCTAGTATGAGTCGGTTCATGTTAAGTTTGAAGTGTATTATAGATATGGGACCCGCTAGTGCGGTAAATGCGATAAAATTTTGGTGATTAGGTGATTTTTGTGTAAAGGAATATTATTTTACAAGGTGTTAGGAGATAATTAGAGATTAGCTAGATAGATTAACCATTGGGAGGAAGAAGATAAGTTTAAAACATTCAAGGTGCCAAGTGTCGCGACCCGATTGGAAGTTGGACTTTTGACCAAGGTTTTTAACTTTCCTAAAACTCAAATTTTGACCAAAATCATCTTCATTTCTTTCTCAAGTTGGCCGAACCATAGAGAGGAGAGAAGAGAGAAAAGCCTTCATCTTGTTCTTCAATTTCTTATCCAAATCTTGAGTTCCAACCGATTAAATTGCAAACCACTCCATAAAAGTGGTAGTTAAGGTAGTTTCCAAGGTGTTTGTGGAGTTAATTTGGGAGGAAGAAGCCTAAACTACCATCTTTCTTGTGATATAAGGTAAATTTGCTAGGAAATCCCTCTTTACATAAAAAACTAGGATATTTGTGGTTTAGCGTTACAATGTTTGTGATTTTATGAGAAATATTGTGGTTTGAGGTGATGATAAAGAATTTTCCGTTTTTATGATGTAATTTCTGCTCACATGTAATGATTGAGGGTTGGCCATGTTTTGCTAGTTTACTATATGAAAGATTAAAGGATTATGGAGTAGATTAACCTGCCTAAAGAAATTTCTAACTTATGTACTTAAATTTCAAATTTAGGGTTTCGAATTTGGCCTTGAAGATGGTTGATATTGGAGCTATTAATTGGCTTTATATTAAGGGTGTTATGGCCCTATAAGAGTGTGTTTAATGACTTGTAATTTGTATGTACAATTGAGGTGAAATTGGTGGTTGTTTGTAGGAGGGAAAAATAAAGATTTTAGAGGGAGGTACTGTTGAAATTTTTCCGCAGGAACCCTTGAGTAGTCTTGGAAAAATTGCTATATTTTCTTGTAGAAAAATCGGAATTTAGTTCTATTTGTTGTGTTTTAAACTAGATTCCTAGAGCTATATACCGTGAAAATTTTAGACCATGTTTTGGTCCGTACGATTTATGGTGATTTTTCAAAATTAACTGAAAGTGCATACCTATCCTGTCGTTTGCTGGATAAAGCGACAACTTGAGGCTCGAATATGACTGACTTGTGTTCTGAATCTTATCATAGTGTCTTCTGAAAAATTGTAAATCTTTGAATCTATTTCCAATGGTGTAAATTTTATCAATTTTGGGACTTAAGAAGCTTGAGATATAATTTTTCAAATAGTGTTATGCAAAATTGAAAAATTCTGTTTTCCTAGAACTGGTCTTACTTTCATTTTCCACTTCAAATTTGGAAATGGTGAACCATTGTAGGTAGAGTTTTGGGAAGAGGTGAAGGGCTTTGAGGTCGTTCATGTCTTTAGGACCAACTATTATCTTTTCATTCAAAAATCATATTTTAGCTCTTTGCATTTGTAGTTCATTTGAATAGGCATATGACTCGTAGTCGAGACTCACTTGCACATTCCGTTTACTAGGTTTTGGATGTGAAAACCTCAATTGTTTTATCTTGATTATTTTTAGGGTTTTACAGTGATCAAAACCCTACTTTGAGTGAAAACTTGTGAAGTTATTTTTGTTTGAACTGGTGAGTGTACCACTCCCCTGAATTGTTACTTAATTGGATCATCTGTACTTGAAATCTGTAACATGAATGACTATGAACTCTGTTTAGTCTAAATGAGATGAGAGTGTACTTTATCATACTCGTTATCTGGCCTGTGTGACTGTTTACTGTATAAACTGGAATCTGTTACTTGTATCTGTTATGAGCTTGAATCAGTTATCTGTGCCTGTTATAATGTCATTTGGAAGTGTATTCAACGACCTTCCTGTTAAACCTGATCTCAATCTCATGGGGAGTTAATTGAATCGAGCCAACAAGGGATTGGTCGAGAAAATTGACAATCCATGGGTGTCTGTTCCTAGGGAATCTATAGGTATTGGAAACTCTGGATTTCCGGTATACACGAATATTACCATTCATGTTCCTGGTGAGGTGTTCGGACCCGGTAAGGGGTATGTTTGGTGGACGGAATTTGGTGTTAAGTGGTGCGCTACTGAGTTAGTTACTTTACTTGAAAGTTGAAAAAGTGTCAACTACTACTTGATCAAGATATGGTACTGCAACAGGAATCTGGCTCTTGAGAGCCACTTGTATCCTTCCTATTTGAATCTGTGTTTAATTGCTTTACTTTATATCTGATATGTGTATCTGATTGATTAAACGTGAAATACCATGATTCTTGATTACTAGTATTTTGGTACCTCATTGAGCGTAAAGTCACCCCCTTCCCGTCATCTGTGTTTTCCTTACAGGGGCAAACTGTGAAATCATGATTTTTGGAAGAAAGGGTCGAGTTAGAGTAAACGATCTTTTGTTAAGCTCCTTTGCAATAGAAAAACCTTAATTGTAGTTTAATCTAATATCACACTTTGACTTGTAAAGTTTCAACGTGGGTTTAAAAGTTTTTATTCATGTCTCTATCGCGTATTTGTTGGTGAATGTACGTTCGATGGGTTCATATGAACTTTACTTGTATTCGTTGGAGATTCGAACGAGTGTGAGATTTGATTGAAGAAAGAAAAAATTTTGGCGGGAAACTGCTTACCCAATCCGGCCGTATATCTGGCCAGTTCTTGGCCGGATACTTGACCGGATTGGCAGGGGAGGTTGAAAAAAAAATAAGGTTTTGCTACTGCCTTGAATCTGGCCGTGAATCCGGCTGAATATCCGGCTAACTTCTGGCCGGATTGTGACGTGAACCACTTTTCGTTTCGTTTTCGGTTCCGTCTTCCTTTTCATTGAAGTGTTTAATTGATGTCCCATTTCATTATATGATTTGGTAAGTTATATTTTTGGCCTAGTGGTCTCCGATTGTTTGTTTTCTTTTGGTTTTAACACGCGTTTGTGCGATTTGTTTCCTAGTCCCGACCAGAATTGAGCAGGCGATCCGCCGAACTCTTTAATTTACCTTAGGGAAATGTGGGGTTGTCACAAAAAACACTAATTTGGACCAATTATATATATATATATATATATATATATGTATGTATATATTGTGTGGATTCACATTTTTTTTCCTCAATTGGTTTTTCTCTGTAGGAAGATAAAACCATATAAAAGTTTCTTGGACAGCCAAAATAGTAATTGATTTTTCACTTAAAAAATTATTTGTTAGAAAATTTTTTTTGACCTCTATTATTTGTTGGAAAAATAACTAGTAGGACTAGTCTTGAACAATTTAAGAAACTTAGGGTTAAAAACACCAATTTGGACCAATTTGGGCCTCTCCACTGGTAATATACATAAACCTATCCTATGGCAGCATAAAAGTTTCTTCTGTTTTTAGTATTGCCGTGGTCTTTGTCCCGCCTCTGCTCTGCCTATCTCCCTCTTCTTCTTTGGCCGCCGCCGCCCGCCACCGCCGCCGCCGATAGCGCCAGGTTTTTATTTTGTTTTATTTTTAGTCAGTTCTTCACCTCCCACCTCTTTTCATGGGCTTATTTATTCTACCGCCTTAGATATTTATCGAATTTTCTGTTGGAATTATCATGAAGAAAGCATATTAATTACTGAATTCAGCTGAATGCTTGCCACAACTTGGGTACAATTATAAATTTGGATACCTGTGGAAGTCTGGGAATCTTGTTTAATTTTTCTTTTCCTTTTTTTTCCTGGTTGTAGCGTGGAGGGGTACAAGGTGAACGCATGAGTGAGAATTGTGGACTAGCTATTGAATGAAGTTTGCCTTTTGATATCTTTGAGTAGTTCCTCTATTATGTACTGTGTTTCGTCTTAATTTAGGGGGGGGGGGGTAATTTTTTTTTTTTTTGGTTTTTTGGCTGTTCAGCAGTTTGTTGCTGAGGTTTGTCCTCTCTGTGTATGATGCGTTCTCTTATCAAATAAAGTTACATTTGTGCTCAAAATAAAAGAAAAAGTTGATGATTAAATAGAAATTGAATCGGCGCTGTCAAAGTTTGATTTTTGTGTTAATAATTTTGGTTTTGTTCCAGTTTATGCACTCCACTTGCACTTGAGATTGGAAAGAAACTAAACTAATAATGAGATTGAAGAGATGGGTAGTTGAGGGTTATGAAATTATTGAAGAATTTGCTACGAATAATTAGGCGTATTCCAGTGAAGTATGAGTTGTTTTTTAAGTTAATATGAGGTCTTAATTTACATGATTCACAAGGGCTTTATCAAGGTTTACTAAAAACCCATTTAGGATAGCTGGTCATTTTTTGGACTAATTGAGAAGTGAGGATGTTGGCAAAGAATGTTTACTTTTATAACATTTGTCGGTGGAAGAGTAGTGCTGAATTGTTACTGGCAACACGTATGGAAGAAATCATTCATTCGGTAGAGTGCAGATTGATTCAAGTCTATTTGCATTTGATTTATAGTGGACAAACCTTTCTTTGCTTGCCCAGCTGCACCTTTTTATGCACTTTGTTTTCAAGTTTAGGGTTTTTGGATGTTTTATCCATATTCAATTAGGTTCCTTTAATAATGCAAAGCAATAAGCGATGCTTGTTTATTTAAGTGCTAACACTTTAAACGAAGTCTTGAGTAGTGTTTGTTGTTGGCTGGAAGCACTGCTTGAGGTTGTCTTAACCTGGTCTTGTGAGTCATTTAGTTTCACCACCAGGACCAGAGAGATCCACCAATTATGTTGGCAGTTGGTCTCAGGAAAGGGTGGTCAGAAGGCCCCTAGTGCAGTGTCTTAGAGCAGCTTAGGATGATAAAGTCAATAGATGCTGCTTGTGTCTGAATTCAAACAGGAAATTAGAACTAAGCAAGGGCATAAATAAAATGCAGAGAGTGTAATAGGGGCGATGGAAGAAGTTATGGTAGTTGATTCTCTTACTTGTTGATCATCAAAATAATCAAAGCCAGTTTATAAGGCAGACCATAGGAGCCCTAAATATTTGATCTCTTTCTCATTCTTCTAAACCATGACGTGTGTTGTCAATGCCGTAGAATGTTAGATTCATGGAGAAAAATGCTTAGTCGTAAGAAGTACGTGCTTGTTCTAGGTGAATTAAACTTACATCTCAATTGTTCTAAAATCAATGCAAGCTAAATACTGAAGAAGATTATAGGAATTATAGTGGAAAATGAGGGGATCAGAAGTGTGTGTATTTTTATGCATGTAAATTTGCAAGCTTTGACTTAATCTGATCTACATTTAGTTACTTTTGGCTTGTTATCACTCAGAAATCATAAAGAAGCTTAGGGTTTTATGTGCCAATAGTAGAAACTCTGAGACCACAATAAGATGAGCTTAAAACTGAGAAACGGCATAAATTTTTTTAATTGTATGACATTCTTCTCTTTGAAAGGAAATAAATGAAAAGGAATAGAACTTCTTTAATACTTTTCTATGCTGTTAGTTGTCACCAAATACTTTTCATGCCAGTAAGTCATGATCTGGTTAATGAGATTGGTGGTGTTCTGTTATCAAGCCTTTATTTTTGGTTATATTATTGTGTAACATTTTCCAATTACATGGCTTTATTGATGGGTGTTCCTTCCCTTGAATCTTTTGATGTTGAGATTACAATATGGACTATCCTCACTGGACGTAAACTGGAAAACTGAAGTTAAAGTCTTTAGTGAAACGGGACCTTTTAATCTATTGAGCATGTCTATGGCCTTGAAATGTGTAAAGGTCAAATTTTAAGTCTAGACTGTGAACATGTTTCCCTACTAGTCATTTTATTACAAGGAGCAAGATTAATATTGCCATCACATAACATCAAATCATAGATGAAGAATTTGAGATCATTGCAAATGCAGGTTAAATGGTTCCTGCTCAATGTCAATTTTCAATATACAATTTTGCAAATATGTACATTAAAATGGTTTCTCACAATGCAAGGATTCCGATGTGTCTTAATTCCCATTCTAGATTACTCTCGTTAAGTGTAATCTATCTCATTTTTCATATTTTAACCATGAATTCTAATGGACTAAAAGACAATGTTAGTAATTTAGTGCTAGAAATTTTCTAACGCCATCTGCCTATGTATGCATTAGCGAGGTTAAATGTAAGTGACATATGCAAAGTTAAAACTTAATTTGCAAAGTTAAAACTTAATTTCAAATTTCATAAATCAGAGTTGTTGTAACCATAATTGGTTTTTACTTACAAAGGACACATTCATTAGAGTTGTTTTAACCATAATTGATTAAGCAGCAGTTTGATGAATATGTGCTTCTTGTATCTTTTTCTCATTCTGCTCTGTAGTTCCACATGGTTCTAATTTTCTCTTGGGTTAAAAAAAAAAGCCCCTGTGGTAAACGTAATATACAGAAAAGCCCCTCTTGGTTTCAAAACGCACAATACGAGACCTCATACTTTGAATTAAATTGTAAAGGTGACGGAATCCGTTAAATTTAATGGAAATGGACAAAATGACAAAAATGCCTTGATATAATTAAGCAAAAGACAGCTTAACAAATTCATTTATTTTATTCTCTAGAGAGATTAAATTAAGGGTTAAGGGGTAGAACAGGTATATTTGTTAAAATATAGGTATAAAATTTTTTTAAAGTTCCAATAAGTCATTTCCGTTAAACTTAACGGATTTCATCACTTTTATAATTTAGTTCAAAACATTGGGTGTCATGTTGTACGTTTTGAAACCACGGGGGATTTTTCTGTATATCAACTTTACCACAAGGGGCGCTTTTTTTTTTACCCTTTTCTCTTTGGGTTTGTATTTTCTGATTCTAGTTTTCCTTTTGTGTTTGCTGTAAAAGAAAAATAAATGAAGCGCTCAAACAAACCAGTAAGGACTAAACTGTTAGATGAGCAAAGATTTAAGGGGTTAAACTGTTCGAAAACCCAAAATTAATAAGACCCCCTTCTTTCTTTCTTGTGTCTTCCATCAGCCGCAGTCTACAGCAGGCTACCAAGTCCCCCAAAGCCCATCATCAATCTCTCCTTTTTCTCTCCCCAACTGTTTCCCCTATCCATCATCGAAAAAAGTTGAATGGGTTCTATTTGATCGTCTTAAATTTAGGAGATAATGGTAGGAAAATTTGTCAGTTCAATGATCCAATGTTGCGCTGGCAATAAAGATACTCTTGGCTGCTTATTGCTTTATACTAGTATTTTTTTAACAGATAACTGTTTTTCAAGGAATTGAATAACCACTGACTCTCGGAAAAGGCATAGGTATGCCCCCATTTCGCAGCCATAATCTGCTACATGACGAAATAAAGATTCTTTTTTATAGACAAAGTATTTGTAGAAATGTCTGTGAGGTATTTCTGAGATGAACCTTTAATGTGGGAATTAGATTGGCATGTGTTTTGACTAGGAGTATTTAGCTTTTAACATTTTCAGCTAATGGTTATGCGATAGAACTTAGGAGATCAATACAGTTGCTGGGAGTAGATTTTCTTTTCTTTTGAAGAATATGAAACATGCTTTTTACTTGGATGTGAGCTATTAACTTTTATCAGTGGGAATGCTAAACAAGAAAAATTCTTCATGGAAATTATGATAGTCTCTAATTTCAACATGAAACTAACTTACTGGTTGACATCATAAGGGGTGTATTACTGCCTCGTTGCAGTTGCACGCTTTATTGAAACATTGCTGCAAAGAAGTGGAAAAGGTGATATTAAGCAGACTGAGATTTGTGACTATTATACTAATATGTCTTGATTTTCTACTTGCTAGAATACCACAATCAATATGATTCTACTAGCAAGTACTGTTTCTGGTTCAATCCCAGTAAACCAACTTATTAATTCATCAAAACAGAGGCCAAGCAGTCGTTCTTGTGTTGTAAATTCAGCAGTTGCGATGACAAATGAAGTTAAAAGAAGGTGCATTCACTTTTGAACACTGAGACTGTTTGAACACGCATTTGAGTTTTTCAAACTTTCATTCTTTGAATTTGTATTGCGTGGCAGTTGTGAGTTTTATGACATGCATAAAGAACTCATTCCGTATGCTGAGGCATGGTCTTGGCAGAAGGACATAGTTAAAAAGAGGAAGGAGTTGATCGAAAGGGAAAAAGACTGTTCAGACACACTGATCATTTTGCAGCACCATCCTGTTTATACATTGGGTACTCGTAGTTCTGAGGCTTACTTGAATTTTAGCATGAAAAATGCGCCCATTAATGTATATCGAACCGAACGGGGAGGCGAAGTTACATACCATGGACCTGGACAGGTAGATTCTACTTTTCAGGAGAATTTTGTACCTAATATCTTAGGGTGTTATTTTTATAGCTCAGGAATATTGATATTCGGACCTGAACCTGGGTTGACTAACTAGTGTTTTGTGCGAGCCACTCAGATATGTGTTTCTCATGATAATGGTAGTCATGTTATTAGAACTTTTGTGGGATCAATTTGAAGGGAAAGCCATTTGTTTAAACCTGACTGCATTCAGGCTGGGTATATTTGCTTCATCCAGCATTTGGGAAGTTGGGTTTGTTCCACCATCCCAAAGTCTAGAATCAAATATGTAATCTTATAAATAAGTAGTCTTATAAGTTGTTCCAGCAGATTCAGTAGCATGTATCCTGTATCATGCTCAAGGCTGTCAATTAAATAAATGTGTTTCTTTGAGCATCAAAACCTTTTTAATTCTGACATTTTACATTTTTGTTTTGTAGCTAGTGATGTACCCAATAATCAATCTCCGATATCACAAAATGGATCTTCATTGGTACCTCAGGGCACTTGAAGAAGTTGTTATTCGTGTTCTTTCCTCAACATTTTTCATTAAAGCTTCACGTATTGAGGGCCTAACTGGTGTTTGGGTTGGTAGGTTGGCAATCCTTTGACTAATATTCTATTGCCTTTGCCATACTTACACAAGCTTAACGGTTGTGAAATGAGTGAAGGTTATTCAATTTGTAATTTGGAAGGATTAGGTTTGGCCTCTAATAACTGTTTGTATAGAATTCCTTTCTATGTGAATAAGTAACCATGTAGCTGCTGAAAATGCCTTGATGTCTTCCTATCATTAAAGAGGATTTGATTATTGTTCATTGAACTAGTTGGCAGTGAAATCCAAGGCAAGAATCTTGAATGTAGATTCCATAATAGAATGAGTTCTGTGAACATTTTGCAAGTAGACTTTTCATTGAAAAATTGGCAGACTAAAAATATGGTCAGTGCTATCATTTTCATCGGTTGTCATTAAGGATAGAAAGAACTTACACTTTTTTATGTCCTTGGATTAAATTTGTAGTCTACTATCATGGATTAAATTTGTAGTCTACTATCATGTTTTCACTTCTTAAGGCACTTTGACAGTCCATTTGTTTTTAGCAACACTTGAATCTCATTCCATATGTATCATCTGAAAATTGTGAGTTTTCAGCACATATGCATAAAGTTTTACAGATAGATTGTTCTTGTCTTTTGTCCTTGACATCTTTTCCCTTCCTCTGATGTGCTTTAGGAATTATCCTTCTGGAAAAGCTGGATTGAATGGATCCATGCGTGATGGTTTTATAGTAAAATTAATTTGCTTGTAAAATTAATTTGCTATTGACTTCTTAATAGCAATGTCATATTTAGCATTTAATTTAAGATTGCTGGTGAAATAGACAGAGACTAACACCTGTGACCCCTTCAGGAGACCAAAAACTGGCAGCTATTGGTATAAAAGTGTCACAGTGGATAGCATACCATGGATTAGCATTGAATGTTGCCACAGATCTGACAGCATTTGGTCAAATTGTCCCTTGCGGTATTCAAGATCGTCAAGTTGGAAGCATAAAGGGTCTGTTGCAGGAACATGTTTCATCTAATCGACGTGGAGCTGAAAGCAAGTATGACATTGATGATAACCAGCTGATTGATATTACTCACAAATCTCTGGTTCAAGAGTTTTGCAAAATTTTTCAAGTTCACCTCCGTCATAAGCCTATCCCAGCAGGAATTGCCTGGGAAAGGCCTGAGGTTTTACATTCTATAACTGAAAAAGGAGACTAAAAGAACATGAAGGATGCACCAGGTGCTTTCCATTTTCCTGTTAAGTATGTCTTACACTCCATTTATGCAGAAAATTTCAAGACTCGGCTTAGTTTTACAGTGTCAGGATTCTTGGATATTCAAATTCTCTTTATAGCAAGTTTGTGCAAATCTTTATGGTCTATTGAGAAACTTTCAGAGCATTTTATTCTTTCATTTACAGAGAGATAGGAGTCTAATAAATGGGATGATGAATCTTTTCTGCAAATAGCCATTGGAGCACAAAATTGCGTGACAGAATTTACATGATTCTCAAGGATTGTAATGGCAATACATTTGCACATCTGCAGATGCTCTTGATGACTGCCTGAAATTGAAAGAGTTTGAGTTGGCTGGAATCAGATTTGCTCCAATGCCTGTTCAAGAAGAAGAGCTAACTAGGAACCAGAGTATGATCTAAAATATGCGGTTTACGTGGTAATTACTCCAGCTAAGCACATTACTAGTTTGCATTGTATGTGCTTTTAATTTTCCTTCTCTATATTTTTGTGATACTGTGAAGTAGTTTGAGGGTGCTATATGTTTAAGCATTACTAGGTTACAGCTGATTTTTACAAAACTGCCATCTTTAGATCATCTTGCTGATAGCACATTGAAATTTAGTTCAGCATTATAATTTGTATAAAGTTACTTGTGATTTGGATCTGTTGATTGACAAAAATTTTTAATTAGGCTGACTTAGGGATATAGCCTCTGCCTGGCCCTCGAGTACTTGTTTCCTGGAGGCATCAACTTCTGTATCCTTCAAGGCGTGTTGTGGTGGCAAAAGTTGAACCCCACTGACGGGAAGCTTTGGGAGATCTCAATTCAAACTGTCAAAAAGCAATATGGCTCAAAATTGGTGGCAGGAACCCATAAGAGAGATTTAGCAGATTTTGATTATGTACTGCAATTGGACAAGGGGAGCTGGATATGTTGATCAGCTCAACCAGGATTCAGACAGTCTTGCTGGTTGAAACTTGTAAAAAATCTTGGCATTTCAGTTGGAACTGTTTCCTTGTTAACGGTTGGAAATCTTAGAGTTCAGTTGGATAGATTTTGTTTCCCCGTTGTCAGTTCGAACTTGGAAATCTCATATTGTGTTTTCCCTTTGGCCCCCATCGCTTTGTAGTTTGTAGTGCGTCCGAGTATACATCAAATGGCCCTTTTAAAAGACATGTCAATGAGATATTGCACAATTTTCATTTATTTAGTATATAAGAAAATGAAGCATTTCAATTACATAAAATGAATAATTTTAGTTAAATATTGCTAACACTTAAAAATTAATAATAATGACATCAAAATCAAGCATGAATTCTTAAATAAATTAATAACCAAGTCGAGTTTGAATTTAATTTTCAAAATTTTTTTTGAGGTGGTTGCCAATCAATAATTCAACATATAGGCATTTCCAAAGTTTTAGAGTCCCTATACGTATTTAGCTGCAGGCATTTCCCAAGTTTCACAGTCCATTGGTTAGATGACCACCACCACCACCAGTGGCGGCCAGCCGCCACAACCATCGGCCGAACCCCGGCTGATCCCAGACCTCCCAGATGACGTGTCCATCAACTGCCTATCAAGAATCCCCAGATACTATTACCCTAAGCTCTCTCTTGTCTCGAGATCATGGCGCTCCGCCATAACCTCCTCTGCACTCTTCACCACCCGGTCCCTCCTCCATACCACCCAAACCTCTCTCTACCTCATCCTCCGCATCAACTACTCCTTCCACTGGTACCCTCTCCTCTATAATTGCCATAGCAGAAAAATCCCACAAAAACCCATTTTTTCCCTTCCCCGCATCCCGTTTCAGCCCGTAGGACCTGCGTTCGCCGCCTTAGGCCCGAAAATATACGTAATTGGGGGGTCTATTAACAAAACTCCGTCAAATTCGATGTGGGTTTATGATTGTAGGTTTAATAGGTGGGCGGAAGGCCCAAGAATGATGGTGGGACGGGAGTTCGCTGCGGCCGGGGTTGTTAATGGGAAGATTTATGTTCTAGGTGGTTGTCTTGTGGATAGCTGGGCGGAGGTTTTTGACCCGGATACTGGGTTGTGGGCCCCGGTGCCAAGCCCTATTGAGGTGAGGGAGAACGGGATGCACGCGAGCGCGGTGGTGGAGGGGAGAGGTGGGGTGGTGTATGATATTGGGCTGGGGAACTGGGGAAAAGTGTCAAAAAGGGCTGCGGTGGTTCGGGGAGTGTTGTATTGTTGTGATTATTTAGGGAAGATCAGAGGGTACGATGTGGAGAAAGGTGTTTGGAAGAAGTTGAAGGGTGTACGGTTGCCTATTTTTTCATGTGGTGCGACGATGGTGAATTTCGATGGGAGGTTGTGTGTTGTTTGGGAGAAAAAGGGGAGTGGGAAGGAGGTGGAGATAAAGTGTGCGGATATTGAAGTTTGGAAGGAAGAGGATGGAAAGTTGGATGGAAGGATTTTGTGGTCTGGTGTGATTCTCAAAGTTCCTGATGGAGCTGCGATTGTACATTGTATGGCAGCTGAGTTCTGATGGTGATGTTTGGTGCAGGGTATGGCAATTGTTCTTTGGTGCATACGTTGCTTATAATATTCAGGTTCTTTTATCTTTGAAGCATGTTAGCCATTTAGTTATCTGATTCATTTGGCCTTGTTTGGATTGCCGGTTTCGTCGAAAAATTACGCAGTTTTTCGTGATCACATTTCCGTATTACCTTTTTTTCTCACATACATCAAATCGCTACAGTAATTTTTCCACGAAAAATCAAGAAAAATGCAATCCAAACACTTTTTTATGCGTTTAGCCTTGTACGGTTATACCATGCCTGTAAACTTCCCTCTCTCTCGTTCTAATTGAATAGTCATTAAATATAGTTATATAAAACTGGTTCGTTGCAGAGAGTGTGAACTTTTACTTCATTCTTTGCGAGGAAAGGGGAAAATAGAGCGCAAATTGGGGCAATGGCCATTGACGAGGGAACATCCCTGAACCTCTGAAGCACACATAAAAAGGAACAAGCTCGATTGGTTCATTCTATACTTTTTAATTGACTTCCCCCCCTTATTTGATATTAATTGGTCATCTTGCCTAAAATATGCTTTCATATAATTATGGAGCAAAAAATCTACGGAATAAAGCCAGCAGCTGAACATGTCCTATACTGTAACAAGGGTTACCCAACAGACTGACTGCCTCCACTTTCATAAGAGTTTAAAAACATTTGATTTTCATATGCCAAGCAACGTCATTCATCCAATCCCAGAAGACCCCAGCTAGTGTTTTATGTCTTTTGTTCTTTTGCCTAACTGTGAAGTCCCGCTGGCATAAATTGTTCTTTTAGGTTCCTCCTCCTTGTTTAGACATTTTAATCATTCATTACTGCTTCTTGAGCTTCTTGCTGGAAAATTTTCTTCTTTTTTATTATCCTATTTGCCTTTGAATTTTTCCTGGATGGACCGATGATGTAATAAGAAATAAACTGCGTTATCTATCTGCAATTTCCCAAATGGAATTGAAGATTAATTTGTCTTCCTGAGGTTCTGTATGATAATTATCAGTCTAATGGTTTCATAATGTCATTTTTTCAATTTCTTTTTCGATATTGAAGTCTGTACTGGTGGTTTAATTTGTTTTATGATCTGAGGATGAGCATCAGTGATGACATATGACAATTGTTATCCTTGCACTTTGATTACCAGTGAAGAAAACTATGGGGATTGACTCTGAGATGCTGTTCTCCTCATTTCCCACCTCTCTGTTGAGTTATGTACTTTATTTTTGATGCTGTAATCTGGAGATTCTGAGATTCAGTCGAATGGTATACTCACAGTTGTTTTACCCATGTATTCAAAATGGATTAGAGCCAAATTCAACACGAGCATTTTGGATTTGTTTGTTTTTTAAGATATTTTCTCAATTGACAAAATGGCCTTATAATGTGATACTCTGCTACTTTGATGTCCCCATGATGATTGCGCTGCCATTGCTTGATTTTTTTTTAGATTTAGACAGATTCAATATTTTTTGAACATTGCTGTAGTTTAGTCTTGATTGTCCATTCTGGATCAGTGATGTTAATGTTTTTACTGCGTTATCTATCTGAAATCCAGTTGAGGATAGACTTACTTCCTGAGATCCAGTCCATTTTTTATTGAGCATCATTAATTACCACTCATGGATTATATTGCAAATGTGAGATACTACCCTCCTTGCCTTTTGTTTGTCCCGGGTTTTCTTAACAATCCGGTCCCAGAAGTGAGCATTTGAATTTATCATGAAAGTTCAATTTATACGATCGCTTTTGCTTGCTATATGATGACTTTATAGTATGGAATTGCGTGTGTAGTCAGCTACCTTACACTTTTTCTTTCCCTCTGTTTCAACTCTTAGAATTTTGGTCCACTTTTATTTTTGAGTCATTCTGTCATGTTGTTACTTGTCCCTGGTGTGCAAAATTTGTTCTTGAAGGTGATAATATCGTATATGTTTTTGCAGCTACTTTTTTTAATTTGCAGACATCTATTGAGGGATAAGTGTTAGATGAGAACGTATACTCCATTTGAGTTCATTTCTTGGAGCTTTGGTTCATTTTCTAGTCATTTTCTCCTGTCGCCATCTTTCATTGGCATTCACAATTCCCTTTAAGGGAATGAGAAATTCCTGTTTACTTGTGAGGTCATTCATTTCAAAAGGCTGACAATCATTCAAGTGCCAGGCTTCCTTTATGGAACTTTGTTTCCAAAGCTGGTCGCCTCACATCTGTTCTTCTTCCCCTTCATGTAATTTCAAATTTCTTGCTTCTATAGCTAAAATGAATTTTCATCCATTCACTTCCATTGCTTATGGTCTGAAAAGGAGGGCTGCCTGAGCACGTGGGGCTTTACTGTTGATCTTCTTGTATGAGAGATGCATTATGATTTTTAGCTTCCTATTTCATTAATCCCGAGTACTTTCATTGATGACAAAAAACCATGTGGTGTTTTTAACAGGATTCTCACTGCAATCAATTTTTCAAACTATTCCGGTTGAGAAGTAGGTGATAAATTGCTCCTTAGCAAAATGATGCTACTGCAGTTTCGTCTAGCTCAGATTGTGTGACTAAGCTACATTGGGTTAGCTATCCAGCTGCTTCAGATTCTCCAAAATGCCGAGGTGTATTGCGTAGTCCAAGTCGCCACCACCTGTGGTCCATTGGTTGATAATTTGCTGGCCAAGTTTGCTATATTCAATCTGGAAATTATCTTCTGTATTTCTATTCAGCCACATTCTCGACAATATCTACTTTCTCCAATATGTGTGTATAGTAGTAGGGTTTATCTGCAGCTGGCAATGTAAGTTCGACCGGTCCTGCTGCTTCTTGTTGTATGTACCTTTCTTTTCCCTTTTGATTCGAAAGTAATTTACTGTGCTCAGACAGACCAGTGGATGTCAGATAAGCTCATGTGTTTTATTCGTGCATTGTGCTATAAATTCTACTCCCTCAGTTATTGGTTTCAGAATTGTTAAATCCTTTCATCTGGATGGAAATCTCGTGCTCTCATGCAACTGTATATCACTTAGGATCAAATTCATATGTTTATAGTCATTCCACTTCAAATACAACTGCATGTTCAGTGATTTTGAGCATTGTTGTTCATTTCATTCGTAAATCCTGAATATGAAGTGTCTATATATATATATATATATATATATATATATATATGTATGTATGTATGTATAGGAGTGACTTCCCACGAAAGGTCGTTTTTACAGTTATTCTACAAGTATAGGGATCCTTCAGCAATGGAGAAAAATGTCGTGCTCGCCTTCCTAGGGACGAGGACATAGAAGAGCATGAGCCCCCACTGGACATTCGCAGGTGGATCTTGTATGATCTTCAGACGGATCCTTAGTGACGGTCAAAATGTTTAAATTTTCTGTTTTGACACCTTTTTTTCTTGTTTTGACGGTTAATGCCCCTCGAAATAGTGTCTAAAACTTCTATAAAAACGTCAGACCAACCACTGGTGTTAATCACTTGGCTAAGAAAATACATGATTCATTAGACAAAAGTTGCAACTTTCAAATACTTCTAGATCATATAGGGGGTGATTTGCTATAGAAAATTACTAGAATTCCCTTAAAAAACAGTCCATAGTT